AGTAGTAGTCCGTTCTGTAATACCAAGACTTAGACTTGCCGGAGATGAATTATAAACTTCTCCGAATTGACCCACATCGGCGTTGCCTTCTACGGCTCAATAATGTCAAACAGATGTGGGGAATAATGAAAAGCGCGCCAACTGCTCTCGAACATGCCACAAATTCAATTATTACAATATGCTGAAGTTCACGAGACGGGTCATGATTGAAGTTAATTTTATATTAAATCTGCAATGCTTGTCCATTGATTGCGCGTGTACTTGGATTTTGATGATTTACAATTGGATTACGTTTGATGCCAATGTGCCATTAATCAAGTATAAATGCATGGAAAAAGTAGCAAGATTGATACGTGTAAAAAAGGATAAATGGAAATTGGTTCGATAATTCTCTTTTTCCGTTAATGGATAGCCAATAATAAACAAAATATTATCGATGATGCGGAGAGGCTTTTACAGGATTGCGCCTTTTTTTCCAACCGCTGATTCCGCACTGCATTCAATCACTTTTCTAAAATTAAAAGCCCTCCTCGCATCTCTCATACTTGATTAAATATTTCATGCCTTTTACCATTCGTAAAAGCGAACCTCGCGAAGCCACTGTTGTATGGCTGGCACTAAGCTTTACATGATGAAATCACCGCTTTTAAAATGCACGTTTATTTGAAGCATCCGTTGTTATAGAAGTACAGCACAACGTGTTAAAAAGCACATCTATAAATTACGTAATTTAAATATTATTCCAAAGTTAACATTTTATTTTTGATACGAATATATCAGGAAAATAGAATAGAGAAGAATCTGAACAAATAATCCACCATCCCATATCATCTCGTATAATTGTATGTTTAATTAAAAAATATATCATGCAATATATAAAAAAATATTTTTTTAAATCAAAATATAATAAGTAATATATAGGAAAATTACCACTCATATTTTATTACTTTTAAGTTACATATTGTGGAGAACATTCCAAGTGAAGTACTTGTGTCCCTGGGATGGAATTCTGGGCACAGTGGAATATTGTCTGGTGTTGTCGTTGTGCCGAGTCTTAATAGTTGGGAATTTAATGAAATTCGTTTGGTTTTACATAACTTTAATAATGTACTTGGTCGATTTAAGATTTGAGACTATACTCGTCATATTAAGATTGTTATGAGACTATGCTCATCTTTAAAGGTTCTGCTGAGGCTAATTTTAAATATTTATTCTACTTACAAAGTTAATTCTTGTTAATTCAGAAGTTATGATTGGGAGTAGAGCTGGGTGATTATGCAATTAGATGCAATTTAGGTTAATTATAGTAACAATACTTATATTTCCATAAATTCAAGAGAAACATGTTAATTAGTAATTGTTACAAATGGTTATTGATTTACGACCATCTTGCTTACTTCCTTTTTTATAATATTCCTTATTGATAAAATGGTTTTTAATATACGAAAGACAATCTCTATTGAATAAAATGATGTGTACCAATTAAAAAAAAATGTAGATAGTTATGTTTGATTTATAATTATGCAAGTATATACTACGCTATATTTATCAAGTACTTAATAATATTGTTTTGGTAAATGAAAATAATGACTTAAGTTATTATTTTTTTTAATTAAGTGATTTATATAACAAACGCAATTAACTGGAGATAAATATGTAGGATTTAGATTCATATAAAATTCAATTGTCAAGCGTAAATGTGAATAAACTTCTGAATATTGTAAATATGATTTTGGAACTACTCCATTCGTATGCTCTTGGCCAATTTCCAGTTATTACATTCATAGTTATATTTTTACTGCTGCTCTATGTATATATTGTTTTGCTCAATAAACCTATTTAGTATTACTATTTATTTAGCAAGTGTATGTATTTTTTGCAATATTTATCTATCACTAAAAATAAATAGTTGGGCCATAAAAATAATACTTGGCTATACAGTAGATTCTGCTTAATAGGGACACCGGTTAATCGGGACAGCCGTTTATTAGGGACAAATCACAAAGATCGGAAACAACCCCGAAGAAATAACATAAAATTACTCCGCTTTTTCGGGACAATATTCAATATCGTAAAAATAGAAGGCAAACCACTATGGACAAATTCCTCCAGAGTACATAATTTTCTATTATGTACGTATGCATTTTTTTAATATGTAAGCATACTATAGTTTTGTGACTTGCTTTATTATTTATTTATTTTGTGCAATTTATTAAATAAAATATTAAAAAACATTAATCCTGTAATTTTTGTGGAACTTCGGATAATTGAGCCAGCCGCTTAATAGGGACAAAATGTACTTGTCCCGATTTAGCGGAATCAACTGTATTTTGATATCTCTTGATGAGACCTCTTATTATCATAAAACATATTAGAAGAATAATAGTTCTTTTCATTTGTTTACAACTTTACAGGAATGCCTCGCATAGTGCGGGTAATTGGTTTCGCTTATGTTCCCCACTGACTAATTAAACTAATTGAAGATTACTTCATAATATAAAAGCTCAAAAAGAGACTTGAAATAACGATCGTAAATAATAATCTTTTTTCAAAACATAAATAAACATTTTCATATATAACCATAATAATAAAAGAAACGATGATTTATGTCAAAAAAAATATTTTCAATTGTTTTGTCCTCGTAATCTATAGTAAATCCGCATTATGAGAGGTATTACTTTATATAATACACTAAGTTTAAGATATCTATATTTACCTGCTTCACAATAATATAATATAAAATCAATACGGAAAACGCAAGTACTTATGTTTGGAGATTACGAAAATCTTATATAACTTGTCAATGAGTAGTTGTTATGATATAAATATAAAATGAGTTAGAAAAGACGAAGAATGTAGCAGCCAAATTGAGTGTATTATTACCATTGCACTATGTAAACACAGTTGTATATTAATATGATATTATCAAGATTGTACAGGACTGCGTTTAGGTAGGATGGCTTGTTGCTCTGGTAGGCGTTGAACTTGGAGAACCATTAGATGCGGAATGATTGATGGTAATTTCGCAAGCCGATGCAACAGCTGGTAATGACCACAATATCATAGCAATGAAAAGCTCAGGAATGAATTGAATTTCCCTAAGAAAGACCTCGTAAAAGCCAATGAAGCGAACCTTCATTAATACCGGACGACATACTATTTTGTACCTTGCCGTTGCGGCTAGGCAATTTCTAGCATCATCCGCCCCCAGTATTAATTACATTTTCTGCGGAATGCGTTCCCATTTCCTGCACTATAGAAGGGAAGTATACGCTCGCAACCAAAAACATCTTTGCTCTGCAATCAACGTATAATATAATAAAAGTTTATAAATAAAAGAGAGTGAAGCTTTCTGTGGAGATTTAATTACGTCCCAGTTTAATAAACGCTGATGGAGAGAGCGGAATTTTAAATAATACAATATAACATTTTTGTTGTGCAATAATTGCTTAATTGGATTATGCGAGAGTATTGTTATGTATTGTTGTTTGTATTTTAATTGAGATTATTTGATGTACTCAAGGTTCAATTTAAGAGAAGCTTCATGTGCGTTCTTCTGGAGATTGTAAATATTGCATGAGCGAACTTTTCAGAGCATATGAGTAACCTTTGACATTGACATATAAAAGCGGTTATTAAAAACGCTGCGAGCGTACGTACGCGTTTTATGTGAATTCCTTTATCCGTTTCAACGAGTTTTATTTGTGATAGCAATTAGCAGATATAAATTATTTGTAAAATTTGCTTTTTATTATTTTAATAAACACGAGCAGTGTTACCAACCTGCATTAATGCGAAAAATTGATGCGAAATTTGTTTTTCAACAACAATTGTGTTTGTTCATCGTTTACAAGAGTGCACGTAATAATTCAAACGCCCACGTGCAAATTACAAAACATTGCAATTTGACACTTGTTTATTATATTATTAGTGCATACAAAAAATGTGTACACTTTAATGACGGAATTACGTTTACATAACTTTTTTTTATTATTGGTTGTAATTAAGTTTGTAAATGTCGGAATTACTCTTAATTAGATACATAATTGAATTTAGCATATTATCTGTGATTTTGTAAAGTTCAAATAATTCCCTAATAAATCAAGATAATTGCTACTTAACATCTTTTTATTGAAATAATATATAATAAGTAAAATACTATTAACTTTTCTAGCTTAAATAAATGAATATTTATGTTTTTCTTGGCAATTTATCAATACTAATCTAATATACAGGGAGAGATAAATAATAAAATAGATAAATAGAAGTATTATTTCTTTGCAACGGGCAATCAACAACTTTATACTATGTTTTTGGACTTGCTGCTCTGTCTTTATTCGAATCGATTTCTTTAAGAACCTTCAGACCCCGGTCTCAATTAGTTCAAGGCCTCAGTTAACTTTCCGACAGTCATCGTGAAGATCCGTTCCGGTACAGGCTTTTCAGCTTTCTCGACAGTATTGGCAATGAAATTCTGTAATATCATCTAGTATGAACTTTTCATTTAGTACAGTAGATATTTCAACTATTCCATTGCTTTGCCAAATATAATATTTATTATTATCTAGTGCTACATCTTGTTTGTGATAGTTCAATTATTCTATTAATTCCATAAATTTAAAGGCTTATAATTATTCTAAATTTTTGTTTACTTGTATTTATCAAGCAGCTGTATATTGTATATAGAATTCTGATATATTTTCTTTTACTTTCATTGCTTGGGTATTTATTCTAATTGATAAAATCTTTGAAACTATACCTTTTTCAGTCACATGACACCGGCATTCGAGTTAGTAATTCTTTTGTGCTCTTGGTTTTCCTCGAAACAAAGACATTTTTACCTGCACTAATCTCCACCGAAAATAATTATTATGTTTTCAAAACTAATGTTTACTCTTTTAAGAATGTTTACTTAAACTATGTAATTCGATTTTCTTAAGATATGTATCAAATAAAACCATTATAAAATTTTCATTCTCATGTGTCATATTTTGTTGCAGGTAGTTCCAGTTTTACATCGAAAGAATCATTGAAAAATTGTAAGTCGAAAATGTGTTATATTTTATGATAGTTTTATTATTAAGTTACACCAATCGAGTTCATTGTTATTACTATATAAAAAGTGAAATTTATGATAAAATATTTTATTTTGTACATTGTAAATGCAGAGAAACATGTGTGCGTGCGTATATTAAAAACAATCATTGAAGAAGAAAATTACAGCGGCTTGATAAATATTTCAAAGAAAATAATTGTCATTTGGAGCGCAATCAGCCTGGATTAAAGTATTTTTGATGCACTCTTAACAAGCGATTGCCCTTGTTTTTCCTCCCTTTTCGTCGTTCTGTCATCTCTCTTTCGCACCCCTTCCGACGCGTCGCACGCACTCTTTGATCCCTCTCCTCCCCGAAACAAGGGTCGCGTCGGATGCACTTTTTCAGCGTCCCAACGTCATCCGCGCATTCAGTTCGTCCTCGATCCTCGGACCCGTTGCACGTGTCGTTCCAACAAACCCTTCGGTTTTCATCTCGTGGTTAAAAAAAAGAGAATGAGAACCGAAAGCAAAGCATTCTTCAAAAGGACTTAATTGATTACTCTGCTCCAACGGACTGAAATAAAGCAAAATGTCAGTGAGATGTGATTACATTGAAGGATGTTCGTTCGTTTGTTTTTCAAGTAATTCGGTCGTCTTGCTGTTGTTACCTGCGTTTAGGAGCATTATTTATAATTTAATCGGTATTGGCGTATCGATTCTTTAGCCTCGGCTAATCCAATACCCCGCGTGCTTCTCTCGCTCCGCGAAGTATATTAATTAATTAAACGGAGTCCTGGTTAATTACCGACGAATTTAGTGGATTTAATTAGCAAATTTCTCTTTTTGTCCTTGTCCAATTGGGCTGATGCTGTTTACGGCGCTAAACGTTTCAATCACGCGATTTGCAGTTTAGTAAGTATGTTTAAGTTATCTGTTAGGTAATATCTTAATTTACGCATAATGCAATTACATGCGATTGTACAGTGCATTGGAGTGGATTAGTGTTAGTTTATATTTATCTTTATGTAAGTTGTGTATTCTTTAAACAAGAAATTATATAAATTATAGTGTACATTTTAATTTACTTTATTACAAAAATTAGAAGCTAATAAAAAATAGTTTATACATAAAATGATACTATAATAATAATTGTATATATCATGTTAATTTATAAATTAATTAATTTAATTGAAACAGTTATATCATTGATTCTCAACCTTTTTGGTCCGAGGCCCCCATTTGGACATAAAAAGTTTCTGCGACCCCCTTTTGGATATAAAAAGTTTCTGGGACCCACTTTTGGAAATAACAATGTCCCTACACTTTGAGAATCACTGAGTTATATTATTATTAAGAAATTCGTAAAATATTTTGTAAGTTTAACAATGTTATAATCATATTATATAAAATAGAGCAGATATATTAATCTACAATATTTGGAGTTTTTTTTAATAAAATTATGCATATTTGGCAATATTACGAAATATACTAATTTTGAGAACTATTTTACTTTTTTTGCAAGTAAGTTTTGTTTGATTCTAAAGACTTTTTTTTTGTTTAAAAAGTTGTTCTTAAAGTTTGATTTTGCAACCGGAAATACTATATTTTTTTTATATATAAATCGTCAAGGTCTATAAAAATAAAATAATATTTCAGATTTCTTTTTCTTTTCCAATTCTAAAAGGTATTCACTCGTGAGTTCTTCAAGGTGATCAATCATTTACATCGTAGAGACAGACAGATCCATTTTTTTTAGTATAGCAAGTGTAAAAATATATACTGTTTTTCTTCTTTCAAATTATTCATTTTCTTCAACAAAAGGAAAGAAAAGTAAAATAAATCTAAAAGCGAGGAATTCATAAATTAGAAAATATGATTTATATAAACACAACTTAATTGTTTTAATTGTTTGAAACTATTTTAATTTGAAAAAATGTTTCAAATTATATTCGAATCACAATGAAAATATATGTAGGATATGAATACTCATTTAACGGGCAATAAAAATAACAAAATTGTTTTAATTTCATGCAAAGTTAATTGACTTAATTACGCTACGAATTTTTTGTTATTATTGAAGTAAATGCACATAAAATTATGTAAATTTTGATTAAATAGAGAAGTTATCTGTAGTTTTGGACATCTTCAATTAAATCAGTTATGTGGATGGGTTATTTATTTAATGAAACGTTTAATACACGAATAAATCTTTAACGTCCATCGTTCAATTAACGCAACATACAGGTGGTTTAATTACGTGCATTTTATACGGGTTTTAATTAAGTTTTTTTTTTGTCTGTTTCCTTGGATTTAATGAACGCATGTTAAGTTAATTATTTTTACGTTCCCATTAAAGTTCTCGTCGCGGAATTTAGATACATGCAAATATGCAAATTTAGAATTAAAATGGATATCAATTATAAAATGGATGTCAATTATAGAAAATATTTGGTTAGTTGAAAGAAAGACAGAGCAATTGTTGGATTTGAGTATGCTACAATCCATTCTCAATCCAGTGTTGTCGCATGAAATACAGTTTACGGTTCAGTGAGCAACACCAACATTGAAATACTTCAGAGATTCCAATGGAAAACGTTGCGAACAATCAGCGACGCAATCATGTGATATATACCAAAGAGTATTAAGAAAGACAAGTAAGAATTTAATTATCATCCAATAAACGTTTAAAACCAGAAAAATATTATATACTTATATAATAAAAATGTAATATACAAGACAGGACAATAAACACGGAAAATAATTTTATTTCGCACGTTAAGTATCTGAAAAGTGGAACATTTTGAATGTAATCCGCTTTGTTGTAGAAAAAGCTTACTTGATTTAACGTTAAAGTTTCCGATAAAATTGAAATTCGTATATAATACGCACTAATTGATTTTTAAGTTTTTTTTTAAACTTACATTTTTAATATATAAAAAAAACAATAATGTCAAACTTTTAATCAATGATACATTTTACGTGTACTTATTAATGAAAATTAATGTAATGTATTGTTGGGTTGGTGCATAATTATCGGGCGTTTTTTTAAACAATATTTATTAAGAAAAAAAACAATAACATTTTTTAATGATTATTCCGGACTTCAATAACTGCTTCCCATTTACAAATAATATTTTTATTAAAAAAAAGTAAAGAAAACAGCAATTGTACACAAATGTACATATTGTGCGGTATTATACTTGAGATTTACCTATATTGAGTATATAGTGTACATCATCCGTCCGGATACGGAGCATCCCTAAAATTTTAAAATGTCAAGAGCATTTACATAACGTAAATCATATCAAATATAAAAGAAAGTTGTCGAAAGTGTTCGATTCAACGGTTGACAAACAGTGATATGCCCTCTGCTCATGTACAAATGCCACATAGTCAATTTCGGGATATGCTTACTTAGCGCATGCGCACTTCGTGGTATTCTAGGTCAAGTGCTCAAGTTAACAACTGTTTCACTACTACTAGTAGATGCGGTTTCTGGCTTAGTTTTCGTGGACGAGCAGTGTTTATTGATATATCATATAAAGATCATATAAAGAGCTGGCTGGTTCATTTCTTTATATGAAAATAATCATTTCCGTTATTTACTTTATTTGAATTAGTTGTCTGAATTAGTTTAACTCTATTTTTAGTGTACTCTTTCACCACATCCGTGTTAAAATTATCATTTATTATAGAAAATATTAATATGGAAAACCAAAGAAAGGATGAAGTTGGACTAACCGATGAGGCTAATTGTAATTGTTTAATTGAAGATATTCTTAAAAGATTTGCTTCTCTCCCGTTTAATGAAAAAGATATTATTCTTAAAGGCCCGAAGCCCGCACGAATATTAAGTTCGGCCTCAAACGAAAACAATTAAAAGGCATTTTTATAGAGAAATTTACGAAAAAAATGTTTGGATTTGTGAATGTGCTCATTTTAAATTCGAATATTTTCATCTAAACAACATTAGTAAAGCATGCTCTCAATCTTACATACGTAATTGTACAGTAAATTAAAAAAATGTAAAGGGAGCTCGTATAGATTTTTTTAGTGCGAAATTTAAAGAAAAATATTGAACAACAAGGAAGTTACTACAAATTGATATAATTAATAAATGTTAGCTGTTTTTTGACAAAACAAGAACTACCTTTGCGACGACATTTTGAGCATCACGAGTTAGAGAATAGGGGAAATTATGTAGAATTCACTTAGACTTTTGTTAGTTATTATTGTTACTATTAATATAGATCTAACTTAATTATCTTTTTAAGAATTTGTTTTTATCAAATACAATTAAGTTTGTTTTCAAATTATATATAGTGAATCCGGACTGAACGAAGTCGCACTATACGGGGCATTGTTGTACTTAGTTGAAGATACTCTCTCTCTAGAAAATTAATTAATGTTATATTTTAGACTTTTGTTAGTTATTATTGTTACTATTAATTTAGATCATAACTAAATTATGTTTTTTTTATAAATAAAACATCTAATGATATTATTTTGCACAAAACAAGTCGATTAATTAATCGCATCGAAGCATTTATCCAATTCCCTCGGCAACTGCAATGACGTTTTCGAAAATCGATTTATTTATTGTTTGTGCGAGCTGGAAAACTGGTTTCTTCAGGCTTTAAAATGGCGAACATCGATCGTTCCATTTGCAGATCACATAATAACGCAAGAATTTCGCGTACGCGTTCGCATCGAAAATTCGATCTCGCCAAGTTTGCAATTATTTTTCAATTGATCAATCCGCTGCAAATTAAACTGTATTGGCATTTCGAATTGCCAATTGAGATACGTAACTGGAGAAGATTGAACCGTTTGTTTTTGTATAACATAAATCGGACAAATATTATCAGCAGATTGATTGTATTACAGCTGTTTATTTTATCTAACGCGTTTCAAAATTTTAAATTTCTGAACACATTTGAATTTGACAACACTAATATAGTATAACAATACCATGCATAAATTATAAATAATCATAAATAATTA